TTCATTTTGCAAATCTCTCAACAGCTCCTTAGCTTTCTGAGAAGAAAATTGAAGTAATTTTACCACTCTACAACAAAAATCTCTACCTAAATATTTCCTGATGTTTGTGCCTTTTGGTACTGTAAAGCAGCTGCTCGTTAGTGATTTTATGAGATTTATAGCAACAAATTTTGCAAAAGGAAAAAACACACAAGAGATTTGTGCTCATTGAAACATGCCAATACAATGCAAAGAACTGAGAGTACCTAAAGCAGATGGAATTTACCAGAATGTACTCTCATAAATACAACTATGATATTTATATGTGTGTATGTATTTGAGGGTAACAATACGAAATTCACCAATGAAATACAGAATAAACTCCATCTAGTGCAGGAGGAAAACAATAAAAAAAATACTTAAGCAATGAAATGCAAGAAGTATATTAGTTATTTCCCCAAAAGTGTAAGAATAGATGGTACACCAGCTTACCTCAGAGGAATCAAGTTTTTGAAGAAAATAAGTGTAAGGTAACTTAGGACGATATCGCCACCATCTCTTAGATATCCATAGAGCTCTAGTTCCTTGTGTTTCTGTTACCTTTTCAACTACATCCTTGCGGAGGCTATTTTCCACCTCTTTCATGTCAAATTCAACTACATACTTGGCATTTATAGAATCTAATTGCTCAGATAACTTTTCCTTTTTGAGGATCTCTTTCCATGCTTGTAGCCTGTCACGCCATGTTCCCATACTATCCGGAACTTCACCTGCAAGGGCAAGAATCAATAAAACAGGGCGTCACTGAACACCAGGAGAGAATACTGAATCATTATAGACAGGTAAAATGCAAGCCAAATCCCCCACAAACCCATATGACTTAAAAAAAACATCTGTTATAAATCAACCACAAATTATACCTGACATGCAAAAAATGCTAAAGCAGGAAGCAAGTTATTACTTATACAGGAGATGAAATAAAGCAATATACTAGAGTGAAAATCTCCAGTGAAATAAGAGAAGACTCAATATAAAAGGCATGGAAACTTTCTTGCATAAAAGCAAATAAAACCCTTGCTTTAATTATTGATGGCTATGTACATGCATACACTTTAACTGACCCGAAATGCCCAAGTCTTTTCTCAGCTCCTCCTTTTCTTCAGCATTCAATCTTGCATCACTGTCAATAATTTGTTTCACATTCTCCTTAGAAGGCTCTGGATCATCATCCCACGCAATTTCTCCAACATAAGAACTGTCATGAATAAGCATTCCATTCGGTCCTTCGATAAATTTCTTCAATTTGAGGCCTTTGGGTGTTGTCTTCCTCCATAAACCCTTCTTAAACCTGTAGTTACATGAAAGCTAGAGAATATAAGAATTAAAGTTGGAAAGGCCTCCATGATGCCAAATCTCTGTGTTGGTTTACCATTTTCAATGTATGTATCACAAGAAAGAACACAAGTTAAAAAAGTTTGGGGGACAATAGAAACATAAAATAAACATAGATTATAGACACATGTGAGTATATAGGCCAAACAAATACTTGATAATAAACCAGCAGTAAACTAACCAAGAGATTCGGGGGCCAGGGCTACTTGTTACTCAAAAACACTAGCAATAGACAAAATTATTGGAATCGTCTTATGAGCAGAAGATATCACTTGCATAACCTTCAAGAATTTAGAAATTAAAGCACAACACATTGTTTTTAACACAACAAATCACATTATTCCACAATCCCATACTGAGTATCTAGACCTTTACTGAGAATGACACTGTGCGTTGTCTGAAATTGAATTCATAGACAGACATTGAGCAACATTTGTATAATAAGAAGATTGATATTTTTTAATCGCCCTGCAAACACATGAAAGTAACCAACTTACTCCAAAAACAAGAAAATAAACAAACAATAAGCAGCAAAATCTAAAAGGCTAACAATTATGAAAATTAAATAGGAGGCAATCAAATCGTCCATTAAAACTTGAACTTATACGCTGGTTGGTAAATCATGCAGCAAACCACAACTAGATAGTCATGTCTGGTATATCATTAGAATGAAGAAATTACTAAACTGCATTTGCAAGAAAAAAAAAGAAATGCATTTACTTTCTAATATTACTTGGAGAGGGCTCAGGAATCAATGCCTCCATATAAGCCTCTGTTAATTGTTTTCTTTCTCGATCTTGCAGAGGAGCTCGCACGACAGCATACAATTTTTGACAAGAAATTATTACAACAAAAATATATAGGAACAAGGCAGTAATCCGCTTGATATCCCAATTTTTAAAATCCTGCAAAACAATTAACCAACTATCAGCTTTAAAACAATGAAATGGTTGATAAAAAATAGAAAAGCAGAAAGCTACAATGAACTGGTGCACAATGAGCTATATCCTGAAACTAAACTTCCATGGCGCAATTCCCAACCTCTATTAAAGATTCTTACACTAATTTTAATTTGTAATTCATTAGACACACGCACACATTAAGAAAAATGCAATAATCAAATGGTAAAAATAAACAAACTAGCTAACCTTCCAACGCTCCCACTGATTCCAGCTAACAAACTCGGGGAGCAACTCGGTCCTGAACCGATTGAATTCACCCTCGCCCTTCCTGAAACCTTGGTTAACTCGACCCACCAACTTACCAATCCTCACATTCGCCTCATCCAAATCAAACCCAGTTTCCTTCTTAACCGACTCCCCAAATTTGGACCAGAACTTCTCAGGGTCGAAGCGGAGCCAGGCGAAGCCATTGGAGTCAGGCCCACCGGGATTGGCAGACGAAGAAGAAGCTCTGATTATGAGCCTGCGCCTTGTGGGGAGCTGAGAGAAAGTGAGGGCTTGAGGGGTTTTAGCGATTGACATGGGAGAAAAGAGAAGAGAGGTTTGGGCGCAGGGAAATGGAACCTCCATTTTTGTTGGTAGCATGACACTACACACTAGTGAGGAACTTAAAAATGAGGCTTATCGGCTGGGTTGAGGGTTTATCTATGCCCATTTTGGATGGACCGTTGTCTGGTCCGTTGACACGTGACTTGCAGGCGAGCATGTTAAATTTAGTTTATCAAACAAAACATCAAAATCCTTTAAAAACTCGAAAAACTATATAAATTTTTTAGGCTTAATACAAAATTATATTTTTCTAATTTAAATGTTTAAATTATTTTTCATTACATATAGTTAATATTATAAATATTATTATTTTAAATCTCAATCATAACAGTCTTTAAAAAATTCGGTTAAATGACACGTATTGAGTTTATAAGATTTTAAAAAATTTATTTAAAATAAAAACTTAAAATTATAATTAAAAACCTTAATTTTTTTCAAATATAAAAAAATTACTAAAATTTATCAAACATTAGTTATATCATCGTTGTTGTTACCATCGATCATTGCCTAGTCAACGTCACCCACTAGTAACGGATCATTGTCTCAATTTCTAAATTCTTAAACTTAAATCCTTAATGAAAGTTGATCGACCGTTTGGTCACCCATTCACCTTTAGCCATTCACCTTTAGCCATTCACGATGAGCATTTGGGAGAGATTTACCAGTGCAGGGGCTGAGGGGAAGGGGGACACGCGTGGGGGAGGGGGAATTTCTTTAAAAAATGATTTTTTTAAATAAAAAATAAAAATTTCAAAAAATATATATAAAATTTAAAATTAAATGAATGCAAAACATGTCATTTTACGAATTTTTTTTACGATAATTACTGTCGAGACATTTAAAATGAAACGTTAGGTAACTGAATTGATCGAAAAATAATTTAGGCACTTAAATAAGAAAAATGAATAGTTTTAAAACTTATTTTTATATTAAGCCATTTTTTATTTCTAAATGGGCGAGTGAAATCTATGAAGATCAAATTTGAATATCTTTAGTCAAAATTTTCATAAAATAATTTAATTTGATTTAATTCTAAATATAATTAAAATTTGTATACATATTATATATTAAAAATTATAAAGTATTATTATTAATTACTAGTTGATTTAGTGAATGAGATATTAGATTTTTTAAACAAAATCAAAATTTTGAATTCTATCGTTTGCAAAACAAATTGGAATGAGAGGGATTGTCTCTATAATAAACCTCTATGAAATTAATCAAAATAATTGATCAATAGATCATATACAACACGTAAAGTTAAAATAAATATAAAATGTTAAAATAATGGAGGATATATTATAAAATGTATATTAGTTTTATCGCAAAATGGGAAGAAAATGATAAAATGGAATGCGGATGTTGCAATCATATAGCGCTCTGTATTTCAGTGTTTCCATTCTTCACTGGACCACTACCACTCTATCACTCTCTTCCTTTTGGAATTTTTATGGGATTGCTTCACGGTCCGGTTTCTTTCTCAGATACATATATATAATCGCTTTACCAATCTTTTTGCCGTTTATTTTTTCTTCTAATCTGTTCCTCTCTGATTCTTATTGGATGTCGAATGCCGTATCTCTGTTTTTTTCTTGCCGTGGACACCACAGATAATCTAGTAAGATTTCGTCAGTCTACACGTTCATATTTCGATCAACAACGCGCTTACGTATGAATCATCAGTTTTTTTCCCATCTCGCGTTCAAACTCAAAGAAAATTTTGGTTTTGCTACTGCGTATATTTCGGGTTAAACAATTAAAGAATATACTATTCCTTTTTTTTACTTTAGAAAAAGGATTATATACAATAGCAAAAATAAAAGAAAAATAAATTATATATCAAAGTGTTGATCTGTCAGATGCAGGTAGTAATGTGGTTGATTATTGCATTAAATACAAATTTTATTTAAAAGATAAGATTAGCACGCGATTGTGAACAAGCCACGCACGGCTTGAATCTGAAAGCGTTGGGTGATCACGCGACGCTGATCACGCGATTACCTCCGTGGCGAAGGTTGTGGACTTTGCCGCCTTAGTCTCCAAGCAATTGTTTCTATAAATAGGTAAGCTGGGGCTTACATTATACCTTTGGCAGTCCTTTGCAAAAGCTAGTACAAGCTGTGTCCTTTTCTGTCGTCTCAGTATTCAAAGCATCCGTCAAAACGACATTTTATTTTGCGTAAGAAGTCAAAGGTTGTATGTATTTATTTAGAAAAAGTCATATAGTTTCTAATTAACGTGGGTTAAATTAATTACGAGGGAAACTAGAGAAAGATAACTTCAGCAAAATACATGAGGAAGAGGCTTGGAAGGTTGAAGGTGGAGATGGAAGCTATCAGTAAAGAGCAGCAAAGCATCAAGGATGAGCAGAGTCAAGTTCGAACAAAATTCAATGCGGTTGAAGAAGAATATGAACAGCTTCGCAGTGAAACTAACCGAATTATTCAACAAACGGCCAACACTCAAATTCAACTCGGTTTGATGTTCGGTATCCTCAGGGCAAGAGAAGAAGGTGATCTCGGCAAGGCTGCTCAATTAACTGGACTACTCCGGTAAACCCTGCTGTTTCCTTTCTCTTCTCAACGGATAACTTTTAATTGCAATGTTGCTTATATTATTTTCTTTTTTTTTTCTGTGAAATTATGGGCAGAGATGCTAAAGTGGAGCACCACTGCGGTAGAACATCAAATTCCATTGATCTGAAGCGCCAAACATGTCAATGCCTGTTATTGATCTGATCTTAAATCTATTTATTCATGTACTAGACGTGTACTGGTGCTAATCGTATTTAAATGTTATGAGTTTTGATTGTAACTTTTGAAATTTCTTACAATGAAGGATTGTTCCAATTATCGTGTATGCATGTTGCGACACTGTATGATATATTGACAATCAAAATCACAAAATTTTATCTGTAATCTATCCGTATTCACCAATTATAAAATATAAGATATATGATGCAAAAAAGGGAAGCTTGGTGCGCAAACTTATAAAACATTGGGGAAGATGACTTTGAATAAAATTAGATTAGATTTTATAATTTTATCTTATTACGTTTTTGTCATCTATGTAAGAACGAAGAAAATATTTTTAGAAGGGTAAATAAAACATGTTTACATGTTAAATTAAAATATCTTAATTAAATTGTTATAGTAACATACCTGAAAGTAAGTTCAGTTTTAAGAATAGTTTTAATTAAACACAATAAAATTACTTAAGTAAACCGCAATAAGAAGAGAAGTACCGATCTAGATTACTCTTGGATGAGTAATACAAGTTTATTGAGGGGTATTAGCGTTAAAAAAATGTTTTTTCAGTGGCGGATCCATTACATATTTAAGGTGGGCACGTGCCCACATTAAAATTCAAATTTTCTTCAAATAATTATATATTTTAATGGTTGTGCCCACCCTGAATTTTTTTTTTTTGGATAAACCAGATTTTTTTACCCAAAATAGCAGAGTTATGCTACAACCAAAAACCAATAAGCAGAATGAACAAAATAAACAAGATACGAAAAAACCAGTGATTGGTTATACAATTCCCCAAGCATTACAAAGGGAAAAATTAGTGCAATTTAGTCTATTAATAGGTTTCCCCCTAAGACGTATACTAACAACTTCGATAATTTCCTTGAGCAAATTGTCGTCAGTACGCGATCGGCCTTGGTACATTCTGCGATTTCATTCTTGCCACAGGAAGTAAATAAAAGCATTCCAAGAAATTTTCAAGATTGTGGTAGCAAGGGATTTCCCTTTCCACGTTAAGCACGCCCGAGAGACCATTGCTTCCCAAGTCAGAGCTGTGAAGGTCATCCCATTCAGTAGAAGAATAGATTTCCAGAGATCGACAGCCATGGGACAAAGGGAAAACAGGTGATCCCTTGTTTCATTACAGTTTTTGCAATTTACACAAATAGCAGCAGTATTTATTCCCATTTTTTGTAGCCTATCACTGGTAAGTAACCTGTTCAAAATGGCCATCCAAACGATTAGGCTATGCTTTGGGATATGCATAGGATACCAAATGAGCCTGTGCCAATGAACTTTCGGCCGCTGCATCCGAATCTTGTCCCAAATATCATTGGTGTGCAAAATACCTGAAGTAATCAGAGGATAAGCGATGGTCATCATTTTGAGAATTCGGTTGATACACCAGTTGGTATTTCTCCCAACTTCAAACTGCCAAAAGTTTTGGTGCTTAAAAACGTAATTATGGAGCCATGCCACCCAAAGAGAACCTTCGCCTGCAAGGATCTTCTTAATGAGACTATTAATGCAAGCATGTTCCAAACAAATGGAAGTGTTTTTCAGCCCTAAACCTCCTTCAGACTTTGTAGAACAAATCTGATCCCAGCTTACTCTAGCTCCTTTTGCCGATTTGTCTGCTCATTTCCAAAAGAATCTAGAGCAGAGTTGATCCACTGATTTTAAGATATAAGTTGGGAGAATTAGTTGTCGACACCAGAATTTACTGACACTAAATAAAACTGATCTGATAAGTTCGAGTCTGCCATCATAACTAAGGTTCCTAGCAGACCAGTGATGCAGCCTTTGCCTATTTCTGTCAAGCAGTGATTCGCAGTCCTTCAATGAGAGTTTACGAGTAACTAAGGGAATCCCAAGGTACCTAACAGGCAGACATCCCAATTTAAATCCAGAAATATATTTCAACTCCTCTAAAACCGTAGAAGAAATACCCACAGAGAAGAGTTCGCACTTGGTCGAATTTAAGTTAAGTCCTGAGACTTGATAAAATTGTTGAAGAACACTCAAGACACCAACCACTGATTCAACGTTTCCTTTACAAAAAATCAGTAGATCGTCTGCAAAAGAGAGATGCACCCTAAAATTTTATATGTGTCTATCTCGTATAAAAATTATATGTGATTAATATATATGTGTGTCCACCTTAAAAAATATTTATTGATTCATTATTGGTTCTCCTTAGAAATTTCAAGTTAAAACAAATGTGTTTACAGGGTGTATGCATCAATAATCAATTGACTTAAAAAATTATATAAAAAATATATTATATTGTAATCCGTCCATATTAATAAAAAAAATTAGATGATTAACACTCATGATCCATTCTTTCGATGCATTCATTGTCTTATAAGGAGATATTGATTCCCTTTTAATTGTGTTTTAGTCGTACCAATCATTAACAATCATCACAAGAGATATATTACTGCAAGTTGGTTTTACAGATGAAAGTTTCTTGCTGCAACTCACGCTACAAAATAAAATTTAATTCAAAATGTCATTTTAAGACATGATTGCATTGTTTTGGATAGAATAAAATAATATATAAGAGCTCAGTTAATTCCCTTATCATTTACTCCTGAAAGTGGAGAGCAGATTCAGATAGGTTCAATGGAAATTAAGCCACAGCTTCCACGAAATCTTTCTTCGTCCAAAACATTCGCCTTCCTCGCGAGATTTAACTAACTCATAAGGAAAGTGAACAGAAACAAACATTTGCCAAACAAATTGATGTGTATATATATATATATATATATATTTGTTTGTACGGACTTGTCTGTCATTTCTCTGTTGGCAGGTTGCTATTTTCGGCAAACAAATTGATGGATAATTCAAGGGCGGCTTTCGGGCCGTTCAACGGCACTACTCCGGCAACGGTGACCGTAATAATCTACCCCGACGACAACGGTGGATCAGCCTCCAACTCCAAGTACATATTCGGGGGAGGATTCGGAGTATCTATACTTTGGGTGGCGACTATAATATTCATGATATTAAAGATCAAAAGATGGGGTTCTGGATGAAGCGTTTCTTGCCAGGGTAGCTGCCAGATCACCTCTTCTAACTCATGTGTTATTCATTCTAAAAATAACGTTGATAACGTGTGAGAAACATAACGTTCATGATATTTTGTATGAGATTGTGAGAATGGAGGTTTATTTTTATTTTTTTGAGTATGGAACGATTATAAAATAGTATTTCTTTGAAAGATTATTAATCATTTGATAATGAACGCTTAAACATTCTTGTAAACGTCATGTTAGAATTCAAAACTTCTAGAAATAACAATCATCTATTTAATTACTTGGACCACTTAGTTCGTACAAAAATTGAAATTTTAGATATCAATGAGGAAAAATATTATGATCTATGCTAGACTTTTAAATATACTATGCTAAAATAGTAAATTTTCTATATTTAAACATTTAACAAAAATGTATAATTATTAAATAAAAAATAAACTATTTTAAAAATTAATATAAACGGCAAATTCGATTAACTATATAATTACGAACGGACTTGCATAATTTAAGGGCGTACTATTCAAATAAATCTTTGATTCAATCACACAATTCTAGAATAAATCCCTAAAGAATCGCTGTGGTCCTTGAACATCGGATCCGACTGCCCTCTTTATATAACGATGCTTGTTCCTTGTTTCAATATCAGTTACAGAACTAAAATTAAATATTGAGGGAACTCCAAAAGGCTTAGGGACCAAAGAAGCCTATTTTCCCTCTGGCTCGGTCCCTCTGCATTTTGGTTTTCGCTCCTCCAAATTTCACAAACAACTTTGCTTATAAATCTCAGTCCGTTTTAGTTTTGATTCTTCGAATCCAAGTCGATAACAATGGTGGCACACGGCATGATCAAGGAGAAGAAGAATGGTTTGAAACCAAGAGTAAAGAGTTTTAAAGTGAGAGTCGCACGATTAAAAACAGATCTGAGAAAAATCATAATGGAGGATCAAAGATGTGTAAAAGAGGAGCAAAGAATTATCAGAGATGTTAAATGTCAATGCGATGAAGTCGATTTGGAAACTCAAGTTATTGTGAAGCAATCGAGTACCAGTAAGATTCGGCTTGATATTGTGTTCAATATCGTAGGAGTTCGTCAAGACGATGACATTGAATTATAGATGCCTGCCCTCCGTAGCTGCATTAGTTCCGTTTTCTGATAAATGAAAGCTATAGGTTTTTGTTTTCTTTTAAATGTCGATATTTTTTATCGAGATTTAAATAAATGTCAATATTAATGTTCTCTTATCAGTAGTAAAAAGAGAATGTAACATTGCATTCTGTTTTGCTTCATAAACATCTATTATGTTTTTCCTATGTTTGCAGCATTAAAAAGGAAGTTTTTTAGCACGAACCAATTTATTTTAATGATTAAAGAAATCGTTTTTATTTTTAAAGGTTACAGGTGTGAGCACCTGTAAAGATGATTGGAATTTCATCGTCAAATGTTTGAAAGTACTTAGAACATATAATATTTTATAATACTCTTGAGCTTAATAAAAAATAAGTTTTTTTATATAACTTTTAATTATGATCAAAACTATTATAAGATTTGGTGATTTATAGTTTAGATTAGTTAATTTAACATTAATTTCATATAAATTATTACTTTTAATTTAATCGAGTTATATTGTTTAACTTTTATTATTAATAAATAAAATCACCTACTAAAATTGTTAAATATTCTTTAATTAAAAATTTTAACTTTATCATTTTACTTGCCTCTCATTGAGGATTCTATAAAAAAAAATTTGGAGTTACAATTCCGCAATCATTCTTTTGTTGATCAAAGCTTCATACCCTTCGATTAGTCAAAGTTACTTGGCAAGATCCCTAGTAGGTCTATGACATCTTAGGTCAGATATAAACGTTAAGAATCAATATATATATATATTAAAGCTTTTATACAAAATAAAAAATAGGATCCCAAATGAATTATCTCTCAAACTCGCATTATTGATCTTCTCCAACTGATCATCTTTTTCTCCCTCTGAAAGAACCATTGAATGCTCACTTGGAGTGAAAACGTGTTATCTTCCCAAAGCGTTGAATGTTTCTAGGTCAAATAATTATATATTTTAAATCATTAAAAAACAATAGTCTTACAACGATACTGCTTCCCGAAAATTCTCGACATTCTTCTTCTGGTTTCCAAATTATATATTCATACGACCATTAATGAAGCCATTTTTTGTATATGCATGGTTGGTCTATTATCTATAAGCGTCTTCTGGGTTTCATTTAACGAGAAGAAAATGGGGGTAGTAGCGCCTCATTGCCTGTTTTACTTATCCATTCGGTCTTTTCTAAAGCTTCAGCATCTGCTGATTCCTTTTCAAAGCATCTAATTCTGGGAACAAATATTTACCTTTTTTTAAATGAACGAGAAACAATTAGGACAAATACTCATTTGATATTAACAACCAAATTATTTTCATGAAACTTGTACATTTAACGCTTCTTGTATTTTTAATAAATACTCATTTCATAAACGGGACAAAATCATCTCGTCATGCAATAATAGAAACTTTAAAAAAATCAGTAACAACTTCTCAAGCATATTTCAAGGGGAAAAAATAATAAAAATTGAGTGGAACAACATTCTTCACTTTCAAAAAGTTCAGAGGACCAAACTGAATTAAAAAATTATTTAAGCACTGAAATTATAATAAAATATAATTTAAAAATTAAATACTATTTAATTTATTTATTTTTTATTAATATAAGATAAGTACAAAACATTATATAATCAATAATAACCTTCAATTATTTGATATTGAATGCTTATACACCCAGTAGTCATGTGAGACCTCAAGAAATAACAATTCATATACTAAAAAATTAATTTTTATATTTAAAATAGTAATATATATATCAAATAAAAATAAATTATTTTAAAAATAGTTAAATGACAAACTCATATTAACTATATAATTATGAATGAACTTGCATAATTTAAGGCCATATTATTGAAAAATCTATTCATAGTACATGAGAACATTAAGAAATAAAATTGATGTTAATGTTAACTAATAACCAAAATAAATCCCGAAAAGATTGCTCGATCTCAGTTAAAAAATTGTGCGATCCTTTAACTTAGCACTTGACTCACTCGCTATAAAACGATTCTTCTTTCACTTTTCTGTACATCAGATACAGAATTAAGATTGAGTATTGAGGGAACCAAAAGGCTTAGGGACCTAAAAGCCTATCTTTCCATTCGGCTCGGTCCCTCTGCATTTTGGTTTTTTGCTTCCTCCAAATTTTAGTTACAGTTTTAAAATAAATTTCAGTCTGTTTCAGATTTGATTCTTTGAATTGGAGTAGATAACAATGGTGGCACACGGCATGGTTAAGGAGAAGAAGAATGCTTTGAAACCAAGAGTGAAGAATTCTAAAGTGAGGTTAACGCGAGTGAAAGCAAATGCAAAAAAGATAATAATGGAAGATCAAAGATGCATAGGAGAGGAAGAAAGGATTACGGGCGATGAACTCGGTTTGGAAACTCAAGTGATTGTGAAACAATCGACTTCTAGCAGGATTCGAGTCGGTATTGTGTTCAATATCGTTGGAGCTCGTGAAAACGATGACATTGAAATAGATGCCGACCTCAGTAGTTTCCGTAGTTCCGTTTCTGATAAAACAATGCTATAGTTTTTGTTTTAAATGACAATGTTAACGTCCTCCAACTGTAAGAGAGACGGATGCAACATTGCATTATGTTCATAAATGTCTTTTTGCAGCAACCAAAAAAGAATTTTTTATTATTTTAATCCACTATCAAAACTATTTATAACATCGGATTTAGTAATTTGTAATTTAATTTACTCAACAAAAATTCGTCACTGATTTAAAGATAAGCTTTCAAACTCTCGCCATAACAATCTAATGTAATAAGCGAGAAACCAAAAAATGATTATTTCTTTCTCTCTTTTTTGGCAGGTTTAGTCTTCTTCCTAAAATATTTTATTTTCCCATTCAAAGTAAACTCTCCAAACTTATAATTGGCTTTTCCTTTAGTGATCTTGCAGCGAATAAATTATTTTTGTTATAAACTTATTATATATTGAAAAGATTTATCATATGATGACATTTTTTAATTTAATTTTTTTTATTTATAATATTAAAATTTAAATTCTGAAGTAGCTTATCTCACTAGGTTAATCGATAGTTAATTATCAAACTTCTTTTTTTAAAAAAAAAAAATCATCGAGCATGAATTTTACTATTTATTTGTATTATATTATGTTTAAGTTCGGATAGAGTACAAAAATGGTCCCTCAACTATAAGTCACTACTTTATCGAGTATTTCGATTATTAAAAATTACAAAATGATCTACATACTTTGTGAGTATTTCGACTATTTAAAGTTACAAAATGGTCAATTGACTATTCATATATTCTAAACTCATTATTTTTTGTTAAAAAATTGACGGTCCTCTGAGCTTGGTGTTAACTCGATGATTGAAATATAATAAAATCTGATCTTAGAATCTCAAATGACTATAAAACTCAAAGGGTTTTGAAATCAGATTTTATCACATCTCAGTTAGCATCTTAACATCCCGCCCAGACGACCGTTAATTGTTTAACGGAAAAGAGCGATTTTGGAACATATGAATAGTCAATGACCATTTTGTAACTTTTGATAGTCGAGAGACTCAACAAAATAATGATTTATAGTTTAAGGACCATTTTGTAACTTTTTGGTCTCCTGTTTACTGGGTGCAGGTTGTTTGTCTTTGGCCCGGCTGTGGTGTGGTCGGTTGCTATGTAGTAATTGTTGCAATGAACCATTAGTTTGTTTTGGTGTTGTATTATTCCCTTGTTAAAGAGTACTCTTTTCTTCGATTTAAGTTTAGATATGTTTTTAATGAGACTCTTTTTCTAGGTCTTAATTAATAAAATCTATTTTATCGAGCAAAAAAATAAAATCAAAAGACTCAATAAAATAACACCCAATTGAGGGAGCATTTAACCTTTAAATTATTACTGTTATTTTCAA